ATCATTGTATTCTTGGAATTGCCCACCACCTGGGCCACCCTTCGGCCACTTGATACGGGCATCTGGCATTCTTCGCAAGACCTCGAGAAGTATGTCAAGTGAGAAGTCAAGATACCGGACAACTGTGGCAGGGATGAGAGCAAAGATTTGCTGCAAGCTGACGTCGAGCATCGTGGAGCTGAGATAATGGAGGACAAGGCCAAGGGCCCCTGGGGGATCCAAAGATCGGCCGCCTGGTCGTGGATCTCCTGAACGAGAGGTATCAGTTCGGGGGATGGGTGTTGAGAGCCAGGTCTGTACAAAACCCGACTCGAGAATGAAATCGAAGGTGGCAACATCAAACCCCATGATTGTGATATATGCACGGTCACTCCTGCTGTCGTAAAGGGAGGTCCATGGTGTCGCAATCCGGGGGTTCTCCAGGAGTTCAGGGCGGGTAAGATATTGGCGGGTTTCGATGTCGTTCATTCCATAACTGACGTGAGATCTCGGCACCTCCCACTATGACACCGAGTGAAGCAGCACCCATCTCCCAGTACTCTTCATCTGCCTCCTCTTCAAGTTGCTCTGTGAATTGTTGGAATATGAGTGCATCTTCATTCATGGCTGGCTAGAGATGGGTGGAGGCCCAGGGAATGACAATTATCTTTAATCACGAGGCTTGCGGTTTAATCAGATGAATAGATTATAAGATTATCTTTGAATTTGAGGTCCGACTTTGTTATGAAATATTCTACTGTGGAATAAATACCTTACAGACAGTCATCCAGTGTATATTTATCCATGAATTTAACAGATTTTATCATAATTTTATATTGCCTGGAAGTTGAGTTATTGACCAATTTCCCACTGATGCTTTTCTCCAGGAGGGGGGATATTGGCACATGTAAAATCATGATAAATGACGATAAATGTATAGAAACAGATCGAGGTACTTGCGAAGGCAAGGGAATGAATCTGTGTAAAGTTATTAAGGGGAGAAGGAGGAGGTAATCCCCCACATCAGTATCTATCTATATACTTACCAGATCCACATATCGCACCCATTAAATGGTGCGTTCGGGTCAGAATAATATCCCTTAACATATTTCAGTAGTGACGGATGAGGCTCCGATGCCTGGGGGAAATGGTATTAGAGAAAGAGCTGAAAATGCGCGAAAAACACGAAAATAATTAAAATGGGTACCTCGGACTTGTTCAAAAATTACTAAACTTCGTATATGAGGATCTATTAACATTCTGAAGAGACTGCAAAAGACCGGATGAGATTCCGACCAGTAGGTGGAAAGACATGCGAAATGAATTCCAAAAGCACCAGATGCAACACAAAGTTGTTCCCGAACGCACCATTGAATAGGTGCGATATGTGGATTTGGTAAGTATTTACATAGATACTGATGTGGGGGATTACCTCCTCCTTCTCCCCTTAATAACTTTACACAGATTCATTCCCTTGCCTTCGCAAGTACCTCGATCTGTTTCTATACATTTATCGTCATTTATCATGATTTTACATGTGCCAATATCCCCCCTCCTGGAGGTCAATAAAATATTTCAGCTTGTGGGAAATTGGTCAATAACTCAACTTCCAGGCAATATAAAATTATGATAAAATCTGTTAAATTCATGGATAAATATACACTATTCACGTATATACTTTCCAGACTTTCAGAGCTGCGTTTAGTGGGGTATTTGGAGAGGGTCTCCTGGTGTACCTATATACCCCCTCATATCTACTACACCCAGACACCCCCTGGCATTATGCAAGCTGCCATTACTCTCAGGCATGTATTTCATCATTTTTGGCCGACTCAAATGGCCCTAAACATGCCTGAGGATGCATGGGTGCACCATGTATTATAGCAGCAAAATCGCGTTCATCATATCTCAACGAGTTTCTACCCGTTTCACGCAATAAGGGTGTCTACTAGAAGGTATTAATGTACCCAGCATTTCGCTCAGCCAAATCTAAGCGAAATAATGAGAGGGGAAGCTGGAATTCTGCACGGATGTGCAGCCATCAATAAATTGCCATGCATGAGGGGTAATCCTGTAATATAAGCTGCAATACTGAGCGCGTGAACACGCGGGAGGGCTCGTTTGAAAGCTCTATATATTCTCTATAGAATCGCTGACATGCATCGAGGATTAGATGCCTGAAAATGGTAGAGAATTGAGTGCGCTTCTTTTCTATTTTTAGAAAATGCGCTCTATAAGGGAATAGCATAGTCAATACTGCCTGCACAACCAATTTTAAGCGGTAAAATTAAAGGTAATACACTACCCTAAATTATCACATAGGTTATTTGAGTCAGGGGGGCATGAGAGGGGCACATTTGGTGCGCATTTTCGCATTTTTGGTGTATAAACCACTGTTTGCACCATATCTTTACCAAAAATAGGTCTCTCCTGATGTTCTTGGCATCTACAGAAAGCTAAAATTATTTATAATATTATCGCATAATTGTTTTGTCCATTAAGAGGTGTGGTGTAACGAAATAAGCCATGGATGAGGCCAGCAGAGCCTATTTTGATCCCCCTATGTCCGCATTGGGAATGAGCACAGCCACAGCCGGAAGGCGGATTCTCCGAGGCGAGGCATCAAGAATTGATGGCTCAGATCAGTGACATCATTCTCTGATGTCATGGGCTGTCAAATTAAAAATAGCTGTGGATCTAAAAAAAGCGCACTGCCAAGGTAATGTGGCACCCCATACAGGCCAATTCACCTCCTCCCCCATACCAGATTGTCCTGGAAAGGATGCAGAACAGTCCCCGGGTCTCATCAAACCCCTCCCAAGCCTTTTCCATCACTGAAACGGTCATCCCCAGCCCTCCCCAGCAGCAGGGGGTGGTCTGGGGTCCATGGATGGGCAACTCCCCACCCTGATGCATCCAGCATTCTGGGGAGTTCCCCAGATTTAAACACTTCACTAGCTGTATTGGCTGTTGGATGGGCACGAGGAAGTTTCCAGCAGCACTTGCGCAAGTGCATCCATAAGGTAATGTCAGTCCCAAGGACTGCAAACCAGCAAAGGTTGGTTCAAGGATGTCGCGCACATACCGCAGATGACATAGTTGATTCTTCTGAATTTTGTGATGGTCTTCGCGACAGCCTCCTTCAGAGTCGCCGGCTCCCTCACGTCCACCTGCACTGGAAGGCACTCGCGACCGGTAGCTTGTGACAGCTCCTTGGCCGTTTGGGTTAGATGGTTGAATCTTTTTCGTTGGGATTAAGCAACAATCTCGGAACGAAGTGTGTTTGAACAGCGTACTTGCGTCCCAGGATTACGGCGTTGGCGCCGTGGCGCATCTGGTTGGTTGGTTGGTTGGTGGGGAAGGGTGCGAGTTATGGAGTGCTTCTAGGGCTGAAATTTGGTCCTGGCTCACCATGGCTTCGGTCATTCCGCGACATATCCCAGAACCTCCGCCCGTGCAGAACAGGACCTTCCCCTTGAAGATATCGTCCTTGAAGATGGCTGTGGAGTCGACAATGGGTATGATGTGCAGTGCTGGTGCCATTGTGTTGGTTTGTGAAGGAAAATAGGTGTGCTGGACATTGAGGAGGACGAGTGGCATAGAAATAGAGGTCAAAGTCAATCACAAGGGGTGCAGGCTTGCTGCTGACGCAGATATGTTGGCTCTGGCAATCACCTTTCCTGGCCTCTGCACCTGTCGACCCCATTGTGGGGAAGCGCCTCAGGGCGCTCAACAGTAATGGAAATCACAGTGCCAACGGTAAACACTAGAGTTATCCGCCTGTCTCTGGACTATTCACACTTTGCATGTTGTGATCTGCAGATGGTAAAGTTTCAATGAACATGGGAAGTCCTATGGTCAGGAACTCGACATCAATAATAGATCCTCCGAGGCCCAAGGTTCAGTTCACAAAAAGTGTGCGCCGTCGCGCTGACAGCACATCATGATCAAGAGATCCTTGGTCGGTATGGGCCGTGGTGAACGTAAATTGGGCACCGAGTGTTGCTTCAAACCATTGCACGTTCAAATCGCGCGAAATCTCAAGGGTTATGTTACTACATATCACCTTTATCAGATTATCACGCCACCTGGAGTGCAGATCCTGTACCACAAGATGTGGGGTAGGAGGAGAGATATGCTCTACAGTTGCTGGTCGAAGCATGTCAATGATTGGTCAACAGGTGTGATTTCCCACTGGGTCTCTTGTTATGCCTCTCCTGAGTCCAGATATATCTCAGACGGTTTGGGCCCACCTCTCCAGATAAAGCTATTTGGAAACCCTCCTTTCCAGCAGAAACCCTGGATTTCCAAATAACTTGTTCGGAAACCCAGTTCCTTGAGCATGAATGATCGTGCCTGTCTGGTGATGTTGACCAAATATGGCACCGTGCACCGTCCATGGTGTCATCAGCTTTTCCCAAGTCGACGTTGTTTGAGCTGTTACTCCCCTTCCCTCCAGCTTTTACGCCCTGTAGTAAATCCATACCAGAATTAGCTGTATGAAAGAAGGTTGGTAGATATTTTGAGCTTAAAGTGTGAGACACACGGGGTACAATTGGTTTGGGAAGCACTTGTGAGGCGAGGCGGGCATCATTTGCAACATCGGCACAGAAGGGCTTGTGTAATGACGAGGAACTCTGTTAGGAGTATCCGAATCAGCACACGTGGGAAAGAGGACTTGGAGGTTTGATGGAGGTGAAGGATGGAGAGTGAGAGCGAAAACAGAGCAGTATAAACCACTAGATTCACTGGGGTTCTGTAGACTACGAACTATCTACTTATACTATCTAGTTATGGGCGAGTCATAAGGTGGTGGTACAATGGGAGTCAACAAGACGAGAGATAGGTGACTGGACTAAATGAAGCCAGTTGGAGACGAGACAGTACAACTATGGAAAGGAGTCAAATATAGGAAAGTGACTAGGAATGTGGAGAGAAGGACTAGCTATGAGTCAAGAAGCATAATGGAACGGGAACAGAGCAAATGGACGGAAACGAGAGGCAGAACGAGTTGGGATGGAAGCATGGGAAAGACAGGGGAGCGGAGCGTAGCCGAATTCCTACATACGCCCTCCAGGAATTGATAGCCCTATTATCTCTAACCACTAAGCCAGAGTTCAATGAAATTATTGCCAACCACTCATGATAGCTGAGACCTCTGGAGTGCCCAAATTATACCAAACCACCAGTCTCAGCTGAATGCTATAGAGGATCCCAAGCCACTAGTAGTAGCTGACACCATCAGTAGCTGACACTGTCAACGGCTGACACAAACATTGTAAATCCGACAGAAAGAGGATTAATCCACTGTGTGACCATATTTCTGCTCTGTGGAAGTCTGACAATTTGATACCCAGCCTATTTCCACTGGGTGGAAGTCCAACAATTTGATCCTCAGCACATTTCCGCTCTGTGGAAGTCCGATGTTTTGATCCTCAGCACATTTCTGCTGGGTGGAAGTCTGACATTTTGATACACACCATATTTCTGCTCTGTGATATTAATGGTAATAATTATCATGGCCTCTACAGGGTGCGGGGTGCGCCACACAGCAGGGAATAGTGTGCACAGCGCGATTTGATGTGCTTTGCCCAATTAGGCAAATTTTCGATGGCTGCATATCTGTGCAGAGTTCCGGCTCCCCCTCATATTATTTTGCTTAGCGTTGGCTGAATGAAATGTTGGGTACATTGATACCTTCCTGTAGACCCTTCTACTGTGTGAAACACATGAGAACTCGTTGAGATATGACAAATGTGATTTTGGCTACTATAATGCATGGTGCACCCATGCATCCTCGGGCATATTTAGGGCCATTTTAGTTGGCCAAAAATTATGAAATACATGTATGAGAGTAATGGAACCATGCATAATGCCAGGGGGTGTCTGGGTGTAGTAGATATGAGGGGGGGTATAGGTACACCACTCCGGAAACCCCACTAAATGTACCTCTGAAAGTCTGAAAGTTGATATATTATTAGTATATATTTATTCATGAATTTAACAGATTTTATCATAATTTTATATTGCTTAGAAGCTGGGTTATTGACCGATTTCCAAGGATATAGAATATTCTATTGACCTCCAGGATGGGTGATATTGGCACATGTAAAATCATGATAAATGACGATAAATGTATAGTAACAGAACGAGGTGCTTGCGAGGGCAAGGGGATAATTTTTTGCAAAGTTATTAAGGGGAGAAGGAGGAGGTAATCCCCCACATCAGTATCTATCTATATACTTACCAGATCCACATATCGCACCCATTAAATTGTGCGTTCGGGTCAGGATAATGTCTCTTAACATATTTCAGTAGTGACAGATGAAGCTCCGAGGCCTGGGGGACATTGTATTAGAGAAAGAGCTGAAAATGCGTGAAAAATACGAAAATAATTAAAATGAGTATCTCGGACTTGCTCAAAAATTACTAAACTTCACAGATGAGGACATATTAGCATACTGAAAAGACTGCAAAAGACCGGATGAGATTCCGAGCAGTGGGTGGAAAGATATGTGAAATGAACTCCCAAAGCACCAGATGCAATACAAAGTTGTAAAAGGAAGGTGATGCCATTGCTGTCATTGTGATACCCTTTCACATATCTTTCCACCCACTGCTCGGAATCTCATCCGGTCTTTTGCAGTCTTTTCAGTATGCTAATATGTCCTCATCTGTGAAGTTTAGTAATTTTTGAGCAAGTCCGAGATACTCATTTTAATTATTTTCGTATTTTTCACGCATTTTCAGCTCTTTCTCTAATACAATGTCCCCCAGGCCTCGGAGCTTCATCTGTCACTACTGAAATATGTTAAGAGACATTATCCTGACCCGAACGCACAATTTAATGGGTGCGATATGTGGATCTGGTAAGTATATAGATAGATACTGATGTGGGGGATTACCTCCTCCTTCTCCCCTTAATAACTTTGCAAAAAATTATCCCCTTGCCCTCGCAAGCACCTCGTTCTGTTACTATACATTTATCGTCATTTATCATGATTTTACATGTGCCAATATCACCCATCCTGGAGGTCAATAGAATATTCTATATCCTTGGAAATCGGTCAATAACCCAGCTTCTAAGCAATATAAAATTATGATAAAATCTGTTAAATTCATGAATAAATATATACTAATAATATATCAACTTTCAGACTTTCAGAGGTACATTTAGTGGGGTTTCCGGAGTGGTGTACCTATACCCCCCCTCATATCTACTACACCCAGACACCCCCTGGCATTATGCATGGTTCCATTACTCTCATACATGTATTTCATAATTTTTGGCCAACTAAAATGGCCCTAAATATGCCCGAGGATGCATGGGTGCACCATGCATTATAGTAGCCAAAATCACATTTGTCATATCTCAACGAGTTCTCATGTGTTTCACACAGTAGAAGGGTCTACAGGAAGGTATCAATGTACCCAACATTTCATTCAGCCAACGCTAAGCAAAATAATATGAGGGGGAGCCGGAACTCTGCACAGATATGCAGCCATCGAAAATTTGCCTAATTGGGCAAAGCACATCAAATCGCGCTGTGCACACTATTCCCTGCTGTGTGGCGCACCCCGCACCCTGTAGAGGCCATGATAATTATTACCATTAATATCACAGAGCAGAAATATGGTGTGTATCAAAATGTCAGACTTCCACCCAGCAGAAATGTGCTGAGGATCAAAACATCGGACTTCCACAGAGCGGAAATGTGCTGAGGATCAAATTGTTGGACTTCCACCCAGTGGAAATAGGCTGGGTATCAAATTGTCAGACTTCCACAGAGCAGAAATATGGTCACACAGTGGATTAATCCTCTTTCTGTCGGATTTACAATGTTTGTGTCAGCCGTTGACAGTGTCAGCTACTGATGGTGTCAGCTACTACTAGTGGCTTGGGATCCTCTATAGCATTCAGCTGAGACTGGTGGTTTGGTATAATTTGGGCACTCCAGAGGTCTCAGCTATCATGAGTGGTTGGCAATAATTTCATTGAACTCTGGCTTAGTGGTTAGGGATAATAGGGCTACCAGTGCTGAGAGCGCCATAGCTGCCAGCTCAGCCAACGTAGATGGATCCTCGAGGCCCTTAGCAATGGTCTTCTCAAGGTGATTAAATTCAGCTTTTTTCTTTGCATCATGAGCGTCCTTGACAAGTTCAATGTAGAGATCCAGGAAGGTGATTAACTCGGCAGCAGCGTAGGAATGAGATTGATACCGAGTGTTCGATGTGTCAGGGAATTTTCTGAACATCTTGAGCCCGTGTACCTCTAGTTTTCAGTCTGAAATGAACATGTGATGCACATCCTGATAGCCTTGCTCCTCACTTTTGTGGTTGAACAAAGAGCCAGCAAGACTAGCAAGCTTGACACCACTATGAGTGCTTGAATCGACTGCGTGCTGAATAGCGGCGCTGTCTGCTTCTTGCCCAAGTTGGATGACAGCATTGTTAGCATTGTTTGCAAGGAGCACAGGTGGGGGCCGCTTCTTTAATTCCCAGGTGATGTTCATCCGAACAACTCCATACTTGAAGGCGTTAAGATCCTTGTGCCCGCCACACCCTGCAAAGATGAGAGAGACCAGGAGCATATGTTCACTCTCGCCAAGTGTCAAGAATTTTGCTTTCCTGAGCGACTGCTCAAGGATTCAGTTTCCGTTCTCGAAGCGATCCATCCTGAGATGAAAATTAGTCAGTAAAGAGTCAAGGGAAAGAAATATATCAGAAATATATGATTCAGCACCCGAGCATGCAGCTGCAATATCAGCTGGTTGGATGGCCAGCATTGCTTGAATTACCGCACTCAGGTCCATCTCCTCGAGAACCTTCTCACCAAGGTCCTTGTGAATGACCTCCTCCTTCCACTCTTGACAGAATCGAAGCTTCTTCTTCCCATCGGACGCATGATCCATGTTCTGAAACTCCTCCTTCTGAATCCAGTCATTTGTCTCCATCTTCGTGCCATCACGCTGCGAGAGTGGGCTATTTGAGTAGGCTGAAACAATCCGTGAAGCAAGGTTCTTTGTTCCCTCAAATTGTGTCTTTGCTGTATGATCCAGGGCAGGTTCAAGGTCTATGAAACGAACCTGGTGTGACCACGTCAATTTGTCTGTGTCATCCACACCAAGTTTGTATGTTGGTGCCAAAATAGTGACATGGTGCGATTCGTAAGTAATCTTTTGGTGGGTGGTTCCATTGCTACTTTCCCTGAACCCTATAAATAGCTTTCAGTGTCACACTGTACTTGAGGAATTCAACAAATACCTTCAGCCTGCATGATTTCTCGACCTAGCTGCATCAAACCGAAATAGCCACCTTTGTCGCATGCATGTAAAACAGTGTGTGCACTCATCTTATGGCAAACCTTCATTCCAAAGGCATGAGTGCATGCAACCATGGCATTCACAACATGTTCAGAGGCACATCCGGCCTTCAGGAGCTCCCTGGCCAGTCGTCGTGCATGGGGAGTGTATACCCCTTGCTTCTTGAGCACCCAGACCTTCTTCGACTGAAGGTCCATGTGAGTATCGTGGAGGGTGGCTTGTGCACAGTGCTGCTGCATGTCAAGGCGATGAATGTCCTTATGCAGCCATGCAGTAGCGAGTTTCTCCATAGTCAGAGCTGTTTCAAGCTTGTCGACAGTAGTCCTGAGTTCCTGTGCTATTCTTTCGTGCTCGCATGACCGAGACAAAAGTTCCTGCCATAAGGAATTGCCCTCAGCTACAAGATCACAGATGCGTGAGTTGTATTTCTCTTTGGATTGATGGCACTCATTCGTGAGCCGAGATGTGCATTTTTGGGCCTTTCGGAGCTCGAAATGGGTGTCACCAAGATGTTGCCTGAGTCGCTCAATATCAGCGTTGCAAGAGTAGATGTCTTTGGTGGCAGCAGCGAGTTCTGAATGCAGTTCCGTGTTGATGTTGTCACATTCGTGGAGCAGCCATGTCCGCTAGAAATCTGTATCAAACACTGTATTTAAACAGGGTATACTCACATGTCAGGACTGTCATTAGACAGTCCACCCATGGAGAGGCCATTGCCGTGCTTGCTGGAGCCCAATGCTGTGAGCGGGACATGTCAACACGAGCAAACAATGCAGGAAACAATGCCTGACCATTGTTCCTCGTCGTTTTTGGTGCTCCCGCCGCCATTTCCGATGGGGAAAAGGCACCAACAATGAGGAAACATATTTTCTCATCATTGTGCACTGTTTCCCCCATTGTCAGGGGGCGGGATTGGGTGGATTGGGCCAGGTGTGTTTGGATGATGTGGCCTTTTTTTGGGGCCCCAGACCTATTTTTAGATCATCATGTAATTACCATGACACACCTGCTATAATGCTCTCAACAGTGTCTGTCACAGTGTCTGGCAAGCTCGGGGGCACCTCAAAGCACAGGAAATAAAATTACAAAAAAAATCATGTTAAATCGAAATAAAATATATACATTATGTGGGTGGCTCTACCAGCCACTCACTATGAGATAAGGAGAAAATGAGGAGAAACGACGCATACAACATGTCGTTTCCACTTCCCTACCCTTTGCAGCAAAAAAAAAAATGCACACAAATGTATTAAATTGTACAGAAAAAAAAATACAGGATGCGGGTGGCTAGTAGGGCCACCCGCTATGAAATATAGGTAGAATGAGCAGAAACGGCATGCTATACATGCGCTGTTTCTGCTCAGGGGGATGGGTGCGGGTCCTCCCCCGCCCCTCTGCCCTCTCTGACCCCTCCTGTGCTTGTTGGGGCCCCATCTGCCCCCTCGTGTACTTGTGGGGCCACCTCTGCCCCCTCTGCTCCCACCTCTGCTCGTTCACCCTCTTTGGGTGCTCATGCTCCCCCCTCCTCGTGCTCCCCTTCTGCTTGAGCTGCTAGTTGTGGGTGCTGAGCAGGAGGCGACAGGCGGGGGTGAAGGGTGACGGGCAATGGCAATGGCAAAGGAGGGGGAGGAAGGGTGGCGATGGGCGACGG